GCCTTAAATATTTTTTTAAAAAAACTGACGGGAGAAAAAGGCCAGACCGAGCTCTGCGCCTCTACAAGAGACGCCTCCGGCCACAAAGCCACAGCGGGGGAGCGCCTTCGTCCCCTTCTGCTGAGGGAAGGCCACCAGGGGGCCGGGGGCCGCAGCAGCCACAGGCACTGGGCAACAAAGGGGCCTGGCTGTGCTCCCGGGCCTCGCGCAGGACACGGGGCAGGCAGGTGTGGTTCCGGCTGCTTTCGATGTCCCTTTACTGGAAGGGCGCGTGCGGACGGCGTGCTCGGTCACCCCCCTTGCCGCGCCTGCGTGCTAACACGAATAAGTTTGTCTTCGGTGCTTTTTGTCTTCAGATGACGACGGTATTTCTTCCCTCCAGTCCCCATGTCCTCTGCTCATTGAGGTGGCCGGGGCCCCGGAACCGCAGGGACAGGAGCACTCACTGGGGACATCCGTCTCCTCCCCCCACTGGGAGGGTGGGGCTGGCGTCCCCACGGAGCGCAGAGCTCGCTGCGTGTCTGAAACGCAGCCTTTGTCAAGGCGACACTGTCCCTCGTGCCCCTGATTCTCACAGCGGGCGTGGGCCCTGTCAGACGCCCCTCCTGTGCCGAGACGAACCGGCCGCTTTTCCGTCCTGTTCGTCGCTGCGGCGAGAGGCTGGGGGGGGCTCTCTGGGGCCGACCCGGGCTCGCCTCGCCAGGACAGACGTCACCCGGGGATGGTGCGTTTCCAGTGCCCGCTCGGTCTGCGCGGCTCGTGCCTCCGAGCTGCCCGGTGCCCCCACCCCCGCAGGCCCCTGCGCTGTCCGCGCTGCCCTGGGAGTCAAGGGCGGGGGGGCGGGGGGGGCCGCGGCCGCGCTTTCTCTGCCTTTCTGAATAATTGGAATGAGACTGAAATGGACTGTTCTCTGCAGCTCCGGCCGCTCCGGCCGTTCTGCAGGAGCAGCCGGGAAGCCTCCCGAGCGAGGCGGCAGCTGGGGGGGCGGGGGGCTCCTGCAAAGGGAGGTGTGTGATCAGCGTCCCCTTCCCAGCAACCGGACACGGGAAACGCCGTTCTGTGCGGTGCCGGTTCTGGAACTTTCCTTGCCATCTAGGCTTTACTAACTTGGGAGCGATGGGCTCCTTACAGCACCCGCCGCGGCCCTCCCGTGCCTCCTGTGTCCGGATCAGCCTCTCAGCCCCCGCGGACAGCAGGCGGCGGTCTGCCCGTTTCCTTGGGGGTTCCACTCCACGGGAGGCTGCCTTTACGGTTTCCTCATTTCTTCTTCCGGCACATTCTTCCCAGCGTCCCGGGCTGGCGGGGAACGTCACCCCTGGGGCGGCCATGGTGCGTCCCCCGGTGAGAGTCTCCGCCACGTCCTGCACATGCAGCCCCACAGGTCCCTGACGCGGTTTCCTCTCTCTACCACCCGCGTGTTACCTGGTAACACGCGGTTTGAGGAGGTTGGGTGTCAGTTTCCACCCTGACTCCTCCCATGGGGAGCGGCCTGAGACGCGCCTGCGCGGGCGCAGCCGGGCCGCCTGCCAGGTCCCGCGTCCAGCGACGGACGCGGGCTCGGCGGGCCGCGGCCCTGCCGGCTCGTGCGGGAGCCCTCGCAGCCTGCCCGGGCTCCCGCCGCGGCTGCCGGTCCCTCAACGCGGCTGAAGCCCCGTCTACACCAGCACAGACAGTCTTTGCCTCCTGCGACCCCTTCGGCCTAATTCTATTTTTTTTATTTTATTTTAAGTGTCATGCATCTTTTGTTTTAAATGGGTTTTTCACACACGTCTTGGTGGATATTGTTTCTTTTTTAAATCTAATCTGAGAATTTTGCATAGGTTTAACTGATTTATATTTATTGCATTCTTATCTATTGGATTTCATCCTCCGGTGTTCTTTCTTTCCCACGCGTGCACCTCCCGGCTTGTGCCCGTGCCGCCCGGCCACGGGGCTGCCCTGCACCCGTCGTGCGGCTCAGCCGCCCGCCCCGCGTCGCCACGGTGTCCGGGCCCCAGCTCTGGACCCTCCGCAGCCCCTGCCGGGCTCCCCGCTCTGACGGAAGCGCCCCCGCCAGGAGAGCGCGCCCTGTGCACCCGCAGACGGAGGCCGGGCGCGGACCCCTTGCATCGGAAGCCCTGGCCCGTGCGCCTGTGGTTCCGTGGGTCACATGGGAGGGTCGGGTGTGAGGTGGGAGCCCGGCCACACCCTCCTTCCCCCGGGGATGCCGTCCAGTGCTGGGGGGCTCGTGAGAGCAGGGCCGTGTCTGGGCCTCGGGTTCGCTCTGCGACTCAGGAAGGACCGTGAGGGGCTTCCCGAGCCTGGTGTGTTTGCTGGACGTGGGCTCCGCACCCTTCCTGGCAGCCTTGCCATCTGCTGGCCTCCCCACCGGCCATCGCCCTGGAGCCCCGTGTCCCGAGGTCCAGGCCACAGGCCGCCCGCCCCAGGCCTTGTGCGCAGAGGGCCTTCGGGAGGCCGGCTCCCCGCGGGCTCACGTGTCCACTGAGCCAGACAGGAGGCGACCTGGGTGCGGCCCACGTTGTGGAGGAAGAAGCAAGCGCAGGCTCATCGGATGCATTTGTCTGAGTAACTTCTTTTGCCTCCCTGAGCCCCACATGGCGACGGGCCCCACTGGCCCCCGAGGGAAACCTCGGCCAGGAGGAGCCGGACAGAGGGACCCGCGTCAGCCTCGTCAGCTCGTGCGCCTTGGCTTCCTCACGCGGCCTCGGGCGCACAGCCCCTCCAGCAGGGCCTCGTGGGGGGCAGCGCGGCCCCCGGAGGCCCCAGAGGGCCGGGCAGGGGTGCGCAGAGAGGCTCACCTGCCGCCCTCCACAGCGACAGCCTCAGGGAGGCTGCCTGGCCTCTTGGTGAGCCCGGTCCCGGGGGGCCTGTCTGCGCGGCCCCAGCTGCCCTGCTTCCTGCCGGGCCAATCCAACAGGGAGCAGCAGGGTGCCAGGAGCACCACCAGCCCTAGGGGGGGACGGGGGCGGGGGGGCTGCGCGACAGCCTGCAGCTCGGCTGGAGCTTGCACTGCGGGCCTGCCTGCCTGCGGGGTCCACACAGCCACCACCAGACCTCCAGAGAGCGGTTCCAGGGGCCCGGCATGGCGCAGGGAGAGCCATGGCTCCCGGCGTTCTGAGCCGGATGGACAGCCCTCCACCCCCACCATGAGTGGCCACATTTGTGTGCAAAAGGGGAGCGTTGCCTCACCAGCAGCTGTCCTCTGGCCAAGAGGAGCAGAGAGCAGCCTGAGGCCGTGGTGACCTGCCGGTGCACACGGGCCGCCGTGCAGAGCGTGGAAAAGCCGCGGGTGCCTGGCACCCAGGGCCGGCCCGGCTGACCCAGCAGGGCCGCCCCCACGGGCCGCTTCTGAAAATGGATCTTCCATGAGTCTCATCTCGTTTATCCAGATTGTAGGCTTAGACCTCTGTGACTCCATAATCAAAAAGGGGGTGCAGGATGAGGGCGAGGAGATGTGGGTGTCGAGCTCGGGGCATGAGGGCTCTCGTGGAAGCCGGAGGCCTCAGCAGCAGCGAGGGCCACCCGCACGTGCAGGTGGCCACCCAGAGAGGGCAGGACGGGGAGACCGGCCTGGCTGAGGGACGGCCCTCCAAGCCCAGGGAGGCCGGAGGGCGGCGCGGATGGGGCTGGACTGCGGCTCCAAGCCCCCAGGGAGCTGGGTCTGTCCAGGTGCCAGGTACAGGCCCACGTGCCAAGCACCGTCAGCCCCGGGCACTGCTCCAGGGGCGGGGGCAGGGCACCAGCAGGCTCGGCCCTGCTCAGGGTGAGGGCCTTGGCATCTTGGGGACCAGCCGTGGTCCCGCGAGGGCGTGGGAGCACATCTTGTACCCGCAGAACCTTCCCGAGGCCAGCGCAGAGCCGGGGCCGGAAGAGAAGGCTTGGCTGGGCTGGCCGAACAGGTCAGGTGAGAAAGAGAAGGCGAACCAGTCCCTGGACTGAGCCCGGGGCACAGTTCCAGCTGCTCGGAGGGGTGGTGGTCACGGGGGTCGGGGGGGCCCGGGGCCAGGACCCTGCCCTGGCAGGACAGCCCTGCTGCAGGGCAGGGGCAGCGACCGGACCCCTCTCCCGTGCCTGGGCATCGGGCCCCCCCCGCGGCTGCCGTCACAGGGAGCTCGTGTGCACAGAGGCGGTGCCCGGGGCGAGGTCAGGGTCTGCAGGTTGACGCGTTGAGAGGGGACCGGAATCTGAGCGACCCCATCTTCACCGCCTGGACCAGGCGCTGGGGGCGGGGCATGCAGGCCCACGGGGGCTGCCAGGGGGCGCGAGGTCAGAGGAGGGGCCCAAGGGGAGGGCCAGGCCCCGGCACGTCTGGCCTGCAGACCACAGCGTGCCTCCCCCGCCTGGGCCCTCGCAGCCCCTGCCCCACGCGGCCCTGCTCGCTTCCTTCCCAGGCAGCCCGGCAGCCCCCCAAAACCTCACTCCCCCCAGAGCCGTGGCGCCGCACAGGCGATAAGCACCACCAGCCGGGCATCCCCACCCCCGCCCAGCCTGGGGCGCCCGTGAGGGAAGGCCAGGCCTGAGCTTGCGTCTTACAGTTGCTTCTTAATGGCGCCCTTGTTGTACAAAAGTAGTAAGTTCTTAGTGCTAAAATCCTGAAAAGTAGAGGGGAACTCAAAGAGTAAGTTCGGGGTGCTGGGCAGTGGCAGGTGCTCAGGACACGGGCGAGGGGCGGGGGGCAGCCGGGGCAGCACTGTGAGCCCAGCGTGACCCCCGACACCCCCGTGGGGCCCCGTAAGAAATGGCCGTGAGGGGCCCCAGAGCGGCCAGGGCTGTGTGCCCTGTGCGCCCAGTGCGGGGGTGGGGTAGGCCCAGGCCCACGGGCACCCGGGCGGCAGGTCGGGACCTTGCCGCCCCTGCGCGGTCACCGCGGGGGGACCTCTGGCCTGCGTGGGCTCCCGTGGAGAGAACAAGGGTGGGGGTCTCTGGCTCCTGTGTCTGAAGCCCACGGCCTCCAGCCCTGCCAGGTAACAGGCTTCCTCTTGTTTCTCTCCACCCGGCAGAGCGCACAGCACCTCCGGCGGCCGACAGCCGGCGACACCCCGATGCGAGCCCCGCCGAGACACGGGCGGCCTTCGCCATCAGAGGGGTGAAGGTGGAAGCCCAGGCCAAGGCCAAGCCCACCAGACCCTCCAGGGCTCACCCTGTGAAACCTAAAGGCTGCCGGCAGCCCCCCAAGATCCGGAACTACAACTTCAAGGACTGACCTCACCTCTCCCCTGCCCTCTCCCCACCTCCGCTCTCTCTGCAGCAGGGGTACAGGTGTGCCCCTGCGGGGGGCCGTGAGCGGCAGCACGGGGACCCCAGGACTGACGGGGTGTCCCACAGACCAAGGACAGACCCTGTCAAACCTGTGCCCCCACTTCTTGCAGACTCGTTCTGCGCGCGGGGAGGCGTGAGGGCCTCACCGGCAGCCCGTGCCGCCACTCCTGGCCCGACACCCACGCGCCGCCTGGCACGGAGGCCTGGAGCAGCACGCCCCCCGCGGCACGGGCGTTGCCCGGAGTGCTGCGCGCGTGGGGGCCTCCCACGGCGGGAACAGTGGGGCTGGGCGCCCCCCGTGCCCAGAGGGGGCCCCTGCGGTACCTGCGTCCCCAGGTGCCATGTCGGGGCAGACGCGGCCCCAGACACAGCACCTGCAAGAGGAAGAAACACACAGAAACCGGGGCCGGCCCCTCCGAGTGCCACAGGCCTGGTCCACACACCGCCCGCGCCACCCCCCTCCACGCCCGGGGAGCCGTGTCCCAGGAATCAGAGCCGGCCGGCCGACACTGGGGTGGATTCTCCGCGCGAAGTCAGCAGCCAACCACAGGCGCCCGTCCTGGGAGGCCGTGTGGGAAGGTGGCCCCGGGCCCCTCGGCTCCTCCAAAGCCCTCACCCCCCGCCCCGTGTCTGCGCCTGGTTGGCACAGCCAAGGGCTCCCACCTGCAGCACTGCTGAGGGATGGAGATAGCGTCCCCATCCCAGAGCACAGAGCGTGGCAGACTGCGCCTCCCCGAGGACGGCGGGGTGGGGGCGGCACCCACCCTCCCTGCGGTGTGACAGGACACGGCGAGCGGCCTCTGTGGCTGCAGAGGCCTGTGCCTGCCCGGCTCACAGGGTGGGGGCGCAGCGGCAGCGGCCCCGGGGCTGCCCAATGCAGGGCTGAGACCCGGGCCCCGGGGGCACTCAGTGGCTCCTGCCTCACCCTGGGCCTGAGGAATCGCTTCAGCCCCGGCCGGTGCGGCTCAGGGCACTGAGCACCGGCCTGCGAACCAAAGCGTCGCCGGTTCAATTCCGTCAGGGCACCTGCCTGGGTTGCGGGCCAGGTCCCCAGTCAGAGGGTGTGTGAGAGGCAACCACACCAGGATGCTACGCTCCCTGTCTCCTTCCCTTCCCCCTCTCTAAAAATAAAATTTAAAAAAAAATTTCTAAAAAAGTTGCCTCGCTCAGCTTCCTGTCAGCACAAGCGGGCATGGGTCGGCCTCCAGGGTACGGGTGTCTCCTGCTCTGCTGTTTCCCACATTTGCCCCTTCCAGTGAGGCCGGGGCGCGCGGCTCCCTTTGGCTGAGAAAGTGAGGAAAGATGCCGGGTCGCTTTCCGAAGAAGCCCTTTGGAGCCTGTGAGCGATAGTCTCCGACCCGCGCAGCCGCCCCTGGCTCTGGGTACCGGGTATCACGAGAAAGAAAACCCCACGGAGAGATTGTTCGGAACAGCAATTCAGCTGTCGGAGCTCGGAGCCCTCTGTCCTTTTTTCCTGTCCTGCCCTTCCTTCCACTGCGCGGGAGTCAGAAGCCCCCAGGGAGCAGCGGAGACTGAGCTGTGAGTTCACTTCGGCAACCGTAGGAGCAGAATTACAAGGGAAGGTGCGTCAGAAAGCAGAGGCACAGGGCTGAGCCTCCGCCGCTGCGCCTGCGCGCGCGTGGGTGCGAGTGGCCATGTGCGCGCGCCAGAGCCTCTGCCCAGGGAGGCTCCTTTGTTCGAACCACACCAAGTGGTGTCGGTGAGGAGCCCGCTCGCCAGATGGCCGCGCCCCCTCCCAACGGGCTGCTCCAGGGAGCCGGGGATGCGCCTGCTCGGCCAAGGCCTGGCCTCGGAGGGGTTCCCGGGTTCTCGCGCCGGCACCGCCCAGCGGGACAGCCGGGCAGGAAGGACCAGGCCCGCGCTGCGGTGACCGGCAGTAACCCCTCTGGGGGCTCCGGCCAGGTCAACGACCGCGCTCGCCCGCGGCGGCCGCGCAGCGCCCGGACCGGCCCATCACCCTATCGCCTAGCAACGCCCACTCGCGCACCGTCATTGGGCTGGCGCGCACGCCCCCGGCCACCGATTGGGTGCGGCTGCGGAGCGAGCCACGCCCCAGCCGGCTCCGCGCGGCGCGGACCCTGGCTCGTGCGTAGGTCCGCCCGGGGCTCTGTCTGCCTGGCCCCCCGTGTGGCCCCAGTGTGACCCATATAGTGACCCAAGCACACCCCGTTCCATTTCACCTGCGTGCCGCGCACACGTGGTCCCCACGGCCCCGGGGTTGGGGGAGGCCCGGAAAGGCGTGGGGCAGGGGCGCGCCACGTGCCCTCAGAGCGGGGAACGGAAGTAGGGGCCCTCCGTCTCCGCGCACCCCCCTCCGGGCGCGCCCCCGCCCAGGGTCCCGGCGCGCGGCGGCGCGCCCGGTCCCGGGGCGCAGCCCCGACGCTCATTGGCCTGGGCGGCGCAGCCAAGCTGTCAGCCCATGTGGCGTGTCCTCTCGGGGACGGCCGCGGTTAAATAGAGTCGGCGCCGGCCTAGAGGGAGCCAGAGAGACGCAGTGGTCCGGCCTCTCCTCCTCCGTGGTGCTCCATCCTCGCTCTCCGTCTCCCGCCCGCACTGCCGCCCGCGCTCAGATCAGGTACTAGCGGAGGGCCGGGTTAGGGTCCGGGCCGGGCCCGATTCGGGGCCCGGGCAGGGGCCGGGCCCGGTTCGGGGCCGGGGCGGTGCGGCCGGGCCCCGGGGTGGCCGCCAGTCCGTATCCTCCTGCCTCGGGAAGTGCACGGTCCGCCCGTGGTAGGGGTCGCCCCACGAGGCCGCCCGGGTCTCGCGGTCCGAGCCCCCGTCTGGTGGGCGAGCCACCGCGGAGCGTCCGGGACCGAGCAGTGAAGGGGCCGCGAGCCGCGAGCCGCGCCCCAGGCTCGGCCGGGGCAGGTGGGCGATGGCGAGGGGCGAATGCCGACGAGCGCCGCGAACAGCCATTTTGGTCTCGGAGTGGGCCGAGGGCCGGTAGGAGCCCCCGCCGCCCGGTGCGCGCCGGGCCTCAGCGCCCACAAAGGTCTCCATGCGGGCCGGGCTTCTGAGCCCCTCCATCCGTGGCACCCCTCTCAACAGCTGGGAAGAGGAGGCTCAGCCCGACCCAGGGGCGCCTTTCCAGCCAACCGGAGGGCTGGCAAGAAGGGAGGGAGATGGCCGAGGGGCCCCGGAGCTGGGTAGGGTCTGGTTTCCTCACCACGTGGGCGCAGTCCCGAGCCCCTGAAGTTCTGGGGGATGAGCAGCTCCCGCCGGGTTTGGTGGCAGTGGGGCGGGGCGCGCTGCGGGGGTCTCAACCCCCCCCTCCGCCGCCGCCGCCAGACTCTGCCTGAATAGTAAGTAGGGGAGAACAGAGCCGGCGCTTTCTGGAGGAAGCAGCCGCCCGGAGCTGGTGCCCTGGACCGGCAAAGGGCTCTTTATTCAGCGCTGGGGGAGGAGGTTCCCTCCCTGCCGGGACAGCGGGATGCTGGGCCACCCGAGGAAGTCGCCGCTCTCCTCCACCCGCCCGCCTTTGCTCAGAGAGACCTGGGAAGGTCAGGGGTTGGGTGGCCATCGGTCGCCAGCATCCAGGGGCCCTGGGGCCTTGATGGAAGTTGCTAGACCAACCCTGGCTTGCGCCCTCCCTCAGGGGCTGCACCGGAGCCACCCGCGCATGGCTGCCGGGCGCTCTCTCTGGAGGCACCTTGGGAACCTGGGCCTGGGTGGTCAGGCCGGCTCCCGGGGCTAAGCAGGCGGCCTCCCGCGGCCTCACCCGCCTCAGGTGTGTAGCCTGGGCAGCGCTCTGCCGGCACCGGCCAGGGAAGGTTCTCCAGGCTGGCCCAGCGTGGTGCACAGGCCACCTTTCCCCCGGAGCCCTGCCGGGCCTTGGCACCCCCACGGCCCGGCCGCCCCTGGTCCTCGGCTCCTTCCAAGTCCGGGCTGCTCTTAGGGGCATCGGGCGCGGGAGGCTGAGTTCAGGGCTGCTCCTTGTGGGCTGGTGTCCTTTCCAGCCCCCGTTTCCCTCCCTCCAACGTCGGCGCCCCTTCTCTCCGCCTGCCCGAGCCCTGGGCCAGCTCTGAGCACGCCGGGGGGCCTAGGGCTCTTCTCGGGTGGCCTCCCGCAGAGGCCGCTGGCTGCTGGGGGGGCAAAGGCTGCAGGGCTGGGTCGGGGTCGCCCCAGGCCAGGGCCCCAGCTGCGATAGGCCAGTGCCAAGGCCGAGTGGAAGGTAAGGGCCTGTTGGACCAGATTCTGCCGCCCCCAGCCGCCCCCCAACACGCACAGCCCCGGGGCACCCCTCTGGGCTGTCTGTCCCTTGGTCTGGGCCTTTCTGAACCGCGGCTCTCGGACCCGTGAGTCAGCCTGGAGGAGAGGGGCAGGCGCTGTGGGTGCGGGCCGCCGGGGGCGCGGGCCGAGCCGAGCCGAGCGGAGTCTGGGCCCTGCAGGGAGCAGCATGGAGGAGGTGGTGATTGCCGGCATGTCTGGGAAGCTGCCCGAGTCGGAGAACCTGCAGGAGTTCTGGGCCAACCTCATCGGTGGGGTGGACATGGTGACCGAGGACAACAGGCGGTGGAAGGCCGGTGAGTGCGCGGCCGGCGCAGGCTGCAGCCCCTCCGCGCCGCCCGGCGGCCTGGCTCCTGTCGGAGATGGGGCTGGACTGGGGCCTGGGCTCCGGCCGAGGGTCAGCCCTCCCCGTCTCAGCGCCGAACCTGATGACCGGCGGGGGCCCAAGGCCGGGGGTGGGGCAGGGCCAGGGCCAGGGCCGGGCCTAGTGGGTCAACATGCCCGGCCCGCCCACCACGCGGCCGCTGCTGGCCCACATGTTTGGGGTGAGAGAACACACCGGTTCTCCGGGGAAGCTGGTTTGACTCCCTCCTGCCTCGGAGGCTGTCCCGCAGAGCCGCCCTACCTGATCTGCGGGCTGTGAGTCAGCATGGCAGCGCCCGGCCCGGCGGAGGCCTGGCGTGGGGTCTGCGTCCGGGGCTGTGGGGTCCTGCCCGCCCTCCTTGGGGGCGTGCAGCCCCGTCTGTCCCTTGGGCCCGTGACACCCGCCTTCGCCTGGGTCCGCAGGGCTCTACGGCCTGCCCCGGCGGTCTGGCAAGCTGAAGGACCTGTCCAAGTTTGACGCCAGCTTCTTCGGGGTCCATGCCAAGCAGGCGCAGACGATGGACCCCCAGCTGCGCATGCTGCTGGAGGTCGCCTACGAGGCCATTGTGGATGGAGGTGGGTCACTCGCAGGCCTTTGGCCAGTCTGGGGTCACAGCATGACAACAAGCTTCCTGTTTTGTTTTCTTCTTCTTTTTTTTTTTTTTTTTTTAAGATTTTATTTTCAGAGGGGTGGGACGGGAAGGAGGAAGAGCGGGAGAGAAACATCCATGTGTGGTGGCCTCTCGCACACCCCCTCCTGGGGACCTGGCCCGCAACCCAGGCCTGCGTCCTGACTGGGAATCGAACCAGCGACCCTTTGGTTCTCCGCGCTGAGTCCACTGAGCCGCACCAGCCAGGGCTTGCTGCTGCTTCTAAAAGCAACACGTGTTCAGAGCTGACCTGAGCACATCTAGTCCAGGAGGAGGCCAGGGCCTGCGGCTCCGTGGGCGGGGGCCCTTGGGCAGGCCTGGTTTCACGACTGCCCCGGGGTGCCCTGGGCGTGCCCTGGCGCCCCAGTTTCCTCATTGCCTGTCAGGGGCTGGTGTGAGGCAGAGCAGGAGACAGTTCGGCCCCCACGATGGCTGCCCTCGCGTGGGCTGTGTCTGGCCGGAGGCAGCTGCCCCTCGTCCTGGGGCGCAGGCCTGTCCTCGCTGTGCCCACACACCTGTGACAAGGCGTGGGGCGCTGGGCCCTCTCGACTTCGGTCAGCAGGCGCTCGCCAACCCCTGGGGTCGACATGGGCAGAACAGGTGGGAGACAGTGGCCCACTCTGGGCGAGGGGCCGGGGCGGGGGGGCAAACACCCCGCTGGCCTCCCTGCGGTGGAGGCAGAGGCCCGCCTGCCACCCCGGCCCCACCCAGAGGCCTTGAGAGCCGCTTCCCCGGGGCTGTTCCTCCCTCCTTTTGGAGCCTGGACACTCTGCCTTTGTCTTCCTCTGTCTCCTTATCTTGCCTGTCCCGGGCAGGCCGCCCTTGGGCCTCGCTGCTCATTGGCCCTTGGGGCCGCCCTTCGACACCGGGGCCAGGGGAGTGGCCTGGGGACAACGCTGCCCTCTGTGCTCACCTCCGGCGCGTTGGCCACCGCCTGACCCCGAGCCCTGAGCTCCACCTGGCACTCCCAGGCCCGGTTTCTTCAGTTTCTTGTGACCTGGTTCCCGGCCCTTGGCCCCTCCAGTCAGGCCCAGATGGGGGAGGCTCGTCCTGCGGGGGGGGGGGGCGGTGCCCAGGGTGTAGTCGGTGGCCTGACTGCCACCCCTGCAGGCATCAACCCGGGCTCGCTGCGAGGGTCGCACACGGGCGTCTGGGTGGGCGTGAGCGGCTCCGAGGCCTCCGAGGCGCTGAGTCGAGACCCCGAGACCCTCCTGGGCTACAGCATGGTGGGCTGTCAGCGGGCCATGATGGCCAACCGCCTCTCCTTCTTCTTCGACTTTAAGGGTGAGTGTCCACGGCGGGGCTGGGCCCCAGGGCAGCAGGCCCCCTCCCAGGCTCGGCCGCCCGCCCCCGGAGGTCGGCGGGGCCGGTGGCGCTGACGCCCTTCCCCATGCCCTTGGCTGCAGGGCCCAGCATCACCCTGGACACGGCCTGCTCATCCAGCCTGGTGGCCCTGCACAGCGCCTGCCAGGCCATCCGCAGCGGGGAGTGCCCCGCGGCCCTGGTGGGCGGCATCAACATCCTGCTCAAGCCCAACACCTCTCTGCAGTTCATGAAGCTGGGCATGCTGAGCCCCGAGGGCACCTGCAAGTCCTTCGACGTGGAGGGTGAGGGCCCGGGCGGGGCCGGGGCCGAGCAGCACCCCCACCCCCGCCTCCCCCGGTCCCCAGCAGGCGCCCCGCCCTGAGCCCCTCTCGCCCTCAGGGGTCGGCTACTGCCGCTCGGAGGCCGTGGTGGCCATGCTGCTGACTAAGAAGTCCCTGGCCCGGCGGGTGTACGCCACCATCCTCAGCTCTGGCACCAACACAGACGGCGCTAAGGAGCAAGGTGGGAGCGGGGTGCAGCGCGGGGGCTGGAGGGGGCGGGGCGGCGCGGCTGGCGCGATGCTGAGGCCCAGCCCTTCCGCAGGCGTGACCTTCCCCTGTGGGAAGGTCCAGGAGCAGCTCATCCGCTCCCTGTACGAGCCGGCCGGGTTGGACCCCACGTCCCTGGAGTACATCGAAGCCCACGGCACGGGCACCAAGGTGAGTCCTCGCCCACGCCCCGCCGCTGGCCGCCCCGCCGCTGGCCGCCCCGCCGCCGTGCTGACCCTCCCCGTGTCCCCCGCAGGCAGGCGACCCCCAGGAGCTGAACAGCATCGTCAGTGCCCTGTGCTCCTCCCGCCGGGACCCGCTGCTGATCGGGTCGACCAAGTCAAACATGGGCCACCCGGAGCCCGCCTCAGGGCTGGTGGGGCTGGCCAAGGTGCGTGGGGCGCCGGCCGCGGGGGCCCGGGCTGCGGGGCGCGCACACCTGTGGCCGGCCCCTGCCCCGGTTCGCCGAGGGTCTGACGTTCTGCACAGCCCCTCCGAAGGGGCTGCAGGGAGCAGAGGTGGCTAGAGCTGCCCCACCCCCTGGCTTCCTGAGTGGCAGGTGGGGGCTGGGTGGCCACCGGGGAGACCGGGCAGCGGGCAGGGGCTCCCTGGGCCACGGGCTTCCCCGGGCAGCTTCCTGTGTGCAGCGCTCACTCGGGCCCACAGCCCGCGGGCCTGCGGGGCGGCGGGGGCGGCGGGGGCGTGAGGCTGGGCCGGGGAGCCCCGGGTCGGGGGCAGGGCAGCAGCATGGCCCTCACGGGCGCGCGCCGCCCGCAGGTGCTGCTGTCCCTGGAGCACGGGGTCTGGGCCCCCAACCTGCACTTCCGCAACCCCAACCCCAGCATCCCGGGGCTGCTGGACGGGCGGCTGCGGGTGGTGGACCGGCCCTTGCCTGTGCGCGGGGGCAACGTGGCCATCAACTCCTTCGGCTTCGGCGGCTCCAACGTGCACGTCGTCCTCCGGCCCAACACGCGCCCGCCCCGGCCGCCCGCCCCGCACGCCGCCCTGCCCCGCCTGCTGCTGGCCAGCGGGCGCACCCCGGAGTCCGTGCAGGGCCTGCTGGAGCAGGGCCGCCAGCACAGCCAGGACCTGGCCTTCGTGAGCATGCTCAATGAGATCGCGGCCGTCCCGGTCACGGGCATGCCCTTCCGGGGCTGCACGGTGCTGGGCGGCAAGGACGGCGGCCAGGAGGTGCAGCAGGTGGCTCCCGGCCGGCGCCCTCTCTGGTTCATCTGCTCTGGTGAGTTGCCCCGGGCCCTCCCTGGGCCAGGGGGCAGCCGGGCGGCGCGGCCCTGTCCCTGACACCTCTCGCCTCCCAGGGATGGGCACACAGTGGCACGGGATGGGGCTCAGCCTCATGCGCCTGCCCGGCTTCCGAGACTCCATCCTGCGGTCGGACGACGCCGTGGCACCCCTGGGCCTGCGGGTGTCAGACCTGCTGATGAGCCCAGACGAGGCCATCTTTGACGACACGGTCCACACCTTCATGAGCCTGACGGCCATCCAGGTGCGCCCGCGGGGTCTGGGGCCCGTGGGCCCCGGGGCAGGGGAGGCCGACCTGGCGGGGCTGCCGCGGCACTAACAAGCCATGCCCGACCCCGCAGATTGCCCTCATAGACCTGCTGGCCTCCCTGGGCCTGAAGCCGGACGGCATCATCGGTCACTCCCTGGGCGAGGTGGCCTGCGGCTACGCCGACGGCTGCCTCACGCAGGAGGAGGCCATCCTCTCCGGCTACTGGAGAGGGCAGTGCATCAAGGAGGCCAACATCCCGCCGGGGGCCATGGCGGCTGTGGGTAGGTGCCCCGCGGGCCTGCGAGGCCACGCAGGGGCCTCGGCCAAGCCCAGTGCGGTTTTCGCATGAGCCTAGGCTGGGCCCGCTTGGGGCCGAACACCTGCAGGGCTTTGGATAAAGTCGGGGCTCTAGGGCCAGTCTCCCTGCCCCCCCCTCACGGGCCGGGAGGACGAGGGGTCGTGGCCAATAGAGACCAGTGGGACGGGGGCGATAACACCTTCGCCCTAGAGGAAACGCTGGGGGCGGGGGCAGAGGGCCTCGCAAAGGCGCTGCTCCCTCGGGGCCGCTGCTCCCTCGGGGCCGTCACCGCGGGGCCTGTCCTCCGCGCCGCCTTCTGAGCGTCTCCGCCCACAGGCCTGTCCTGGGAGGAGTGCAAACAGCGCTGCCCCCCGGGCATCGTCCCCGCCTGCCACAACTCCGAGAGCACGGTGACCATCTCGGGACCTCAGGTGTGCGCCGGGAGGCAAGGCCTTGTCCCCAGCCCCGCTCCCTGGCCCTGCGGGCGGGCACTGCCCGAGGGCCCGGGCCCAGCCCAGGATGGTCACGCTGCCCCTGTCGCCCACAGGCCGCCATGTCCGAGTTTGTGGAGCAGCTGAGACAGGAGGGCGTGTTCGCCAAAGAGGTGCTGACCGGCGGCTTCGCCTTCCACTCGTACTTCATGGAGGGCATTGCTCCCTCCCTGCTGCAGGCACTCAAGAAGGTGGGCCGGCCGCCCCTTGGGGGCCGCCTGGAGGGGGCCGTGGGGGGCGGGCGGCAGGCCCCAGCTCCCCCAGCCCCCGCCGCTCTGCCGACCCCGGCTGTGTGCGCAGGTGATCCGGGAGCCGCGGCCCCGCTCCGAACGCTGGATCAGCACCTCCATCCCGGAGGCCCAGTGGCAGAGCAGCCTGGCCCGCACGTTCTCCGCCGAGTACAACGTCAACAACCTAGTGAGCCCCGTGCTGTTCCAGGAGGCGCTGCGGCACGTGCCGGGGAACGCCGTGGTCCTGGAGATCGCGCCCCACGCGTTGCTGCAGGTGCGCCCGGGCTCCGCGCCCCCGGGGCCGGGGGGGCCGGGGGGGCCGGAGGCCTGCGCCCTGTGGGCCGGCCTGACGGTGCGCCCCCGCAGGCTGTCCTGAAGAGAGGCCTCAAGCCCGGCTGCACTGTCGTCCCCCTGATGAAGAAGAGCCACACGGACAACCTGCACTTCTTCCTCAGCAACGTTGGCCGGCTGCACCTGATGGGGTGGGTGTGCGCCCCCAGGCTCCCGCGGGGCCCTTCTCCAGAGGGAGGGACGGCGAGGCCGCAGGGCAGCCTCCAGGGAGAGGGCTGGCGCGGGTGCCACAGGGTGGCCCCGGGCCGGGCAGGCCCCTGACTCGGCCCCACCCCCAGCATCGACATCAACCCCAACGGCCTGCTCCCGCCCGTGGAGTTCCCAGTCCCCCGGGGAACGCCCCTCATCTCCCCGCTCATCAAGTGGGACCACAGCCAGACCTGGGACGTGCCTGCTGCCGAGCACTTCCCCAGCGGCTCTGGCACCTCCTCCTCCACCATCTACAACATCGGTGAGCGCGGGCGCGGGAGGGCGGGAGCTGAGCCCCTTCCCTCCCGGGCTGCCCGCTGAGGCCTGCGTCCACACAGACACCAGCCCCGAGTCCCCCGACCACTACCTGGTGGACCACTGCATCGATGGCCGCGTCATCTTCCCGGCCACCGGCTACCTGTACCTGGTGTGGAGAACGCTGGCGCGGGCCCTGGACCAGAACATGGAGCAGATGCCCGTGGCTTTTGAGGATGTGACGCTGCACCAGGCCACCATCCTGCCCAAGGCTGGTGAGGCGGGGGGGCCGGGAGGCGCTGTGGGGGCGGGCTGACTGCTGGCCCCTGCTGCTGACCTCTGACCCCGCTGCCCACAGGGACCGTCCCCCTGGAGGTGCGGCTTCTGGAGGCGTCCCACACCTTTGAGGTGTCTCAGAACGGCAGCCTGACTGTGACCGGTGAGCGGGGTGCTGGGCTGTGGCGTCCCCGGTGGGCTGCTCTGGGTGAGTCCCTGGCTCCGGGCCGGGCTCTCCCCCCGCCCTCAGGCCCCCCTGCCCCCCTGCCCACAGGGAAGGTGTACCAGTGGGAGGACCCCAACTCCAAGCTCTTCGACACCCGGGACGGCCTGGACCCCGCAGACCCCGCAGGCCCCATGGCTGCGTTCCACTTGGCCAAGGGGGACGTGTACAAGATGCTGCGGCTGCGTGGCTATGACTACGGACCTCACTTCCAGGGCATCCTCAAGGCCAGCCTCGAAGGTGGGGTGCGCAGGGTCCCCGCCTTACCCGTGGAGAGCGAGCCCCGGGGCCCCCTCCCTGAGGCCAGACGGGCCGGACCTGCCGCCCGGTGTCTCGATGCCGCGTGGCCACCGTGGCCCACGCCAGCAGAGGGCAGGCGGTGGCGGGTCGAGGCTCGTGGAGAGGCTGACGGCTCCTCTGCCCTCCGCCGCAGGCTGCACGGGCCAGCTCCTATGGGAGGACAACTGGGTGACCTTCCTGGACACGATGCTGCAGGTGGGGATCCTGAGCTCCAGCGAGCGCAGCCTGCGTCTGCCCACCCGCTTGTCCGCCGTGTACATCGACCCCATTGCCCACCGGCAGCGGGTGCACGCACCGCAGGGTGAGGCCCGAGGTAAGCTGGCTGCTGCGCCAGGGCGCCCGCGCCAGGGCCCCGCGCCCGGCGCCGCCCACACGCGCCTGCCTGTCCCCGCAGTGGCCGACGTGGTGGTGGACGCGCACCTGCGCAGCACGGCGGCGGGCGGCGTCATCCTCTCGCAGGTCCACACCTTGGCGGTCCTGCGCAAACCGGAGCAGCTGGTGCCCCACCTGGAGAAGATGTGCTTCACGCCGCACATGGAGGGCAGGTGCCTGGCAGAGCACGCGGCCCTGCAGGAGGAGCTGCAGCTGTGCAAAGGTGAGGCCGCCCTGCCTGCGTGCTGGCCTGTTGCATGCCCCTGGTGTTGGAGAGCTCACCACCTCCCCGCACAGCCCGTTGATGGGACCTGGCCCAGCTTCACATCCTCCCTTCAGGTGATGCCCTTCCTGGGGCCCCTCGGGAGCCCCCCAGATCTGCTCCCCAAACCAGAGAAGAGGTCAGCTGCCTCTGTCCCCACCCCTCAGTCTTCAGAGGGGCCGAGGGCTCACAGGTGACCAGTTGGGTCTCTTTTGGTTGGACCCTGCCCCTGGCCGCTCAGGCACGTTGCCCGCGTGGCCTGACCGCACAGGCAGCCGCTGCGCAGGGCTCATGCCTGGGCTGACACGTGGGGGCCTCGGGCAGTGACCTCGGCACCTGTGCAGGGCCCCCCTGGATGGGGCGTGGCCTCTGTCCCGAGGCCCACGCTGGCCCTTGACAGCTGCGGTCGCCCCCGACCCCTGGGTGGCTGAGCCTCCGCTGCCTCCATCCCCCCATCTCTTTGCTTGTCCGGTGGGCAGGGCTGAGCAGTAGGCCCTGAGGGTGGGGCCGCAGGGGGCCCGGTGACCCCAAGCCCCTGCTCCAATCAGACACCTGCTGCCTGGGGGGGCCCGGCACACCCCCAGCGGAGGCCCCTGCCTAGCGCCTGTCCCCCCGACTCCCAGGGCTGGCACAGGTGCTGCAGACCAGGGTGGCCCAGCAGGGGCTGAAGATGGCGGTGCCGGGGCTGGACGGGGCCCAGGCCCCCCAGGAGCCCCCGCAGCGGGGCCTGGCCCGGGTGCTGGCGTCTGCCTGCCAGCTGCAGCTGAACGGGAACCTGCAGCTGGAGCTGGGCCAGCTGCTGGCCCAGGAGAAGGCCCAGCTGCGGGAGGACCTGCTGCTCAACGGCCTGCTCGACGCCCCGGCGCTCAGAGCCTGCGTGGACACCGCCCTGGAGAACATGGCCAGTGCCCAGATGAGAGTGGTGGAGGTGGGTGCCGAGCAGGGTGGTCGGCGGGGTGGGCCGGGGCCGCAGCGCGAGACTGTGGGCTGCCGTCTCCGCTGTCCCCCTCCAGGCCCCCAGCGCTGGAGGGGGAGGGACACGGGGGTGCTGCAGGGGGGCGCTGGTGGCTGGGCCTTCGTGGCATGCCTCCCCCCAGCCGGGGCCGGGGTGCCTGCCAGGGGGCAGCCAGTCCAGGACTCTGCCTCCCACCCGCCCCCCAGGTGCTGGCTGCCGACGGCCGCTTGTACTCCCGCATCCCCTCGCTGCTCCGCGGCCAGCCCATGCTGAAGATGGACTACACGGCCACTGACCGCCACCCTCAGGCCCTGGAGCCTGCCCAGGCCGAGCTGCAGCAGCAGGATGTGGCTCAGGGCCAGTGGGACCCTGCGGAGCCCGCCCCCAGCAGCTTGGCGGCCGCTGACCTCCTGGTGTGCAACTGCGCGGTGGCCGCCCTCAGGGACCCAGCCACAGCCCTCGGCAACATGGCAGCCGCTCTCAAGGAGGGGGGCTTCCTGCTGCTACACTCCCTGCTCCGGGGACACCCCCTCACGGAGACGGTCGCCTTCCTCACCTGCCCCGAGCCGCAGCCAGGGCGGCAGAGCCTCCTGAGCCAGGATGAGTGGGAGAGCCTGTTTGCTGGGGCGTCCCTGCGCCTGGTGGCTTTGAAGACGTCCTTCTATGGCTCCGCGCTCTTCCTGTGCCGCCGGCCAGTCCCCCAGGACAGCCCTGTCTTCCTGCCTGTGGAGGACACCAGCTTCCGATGGGTGGACTCGCTCAAGGTCAGTCCCTGCCAGCGCCCAGGCCGGACCTGGCTGCCGCGGTGTCACGCCCACGGGCTCAGGGCCTTCCCGGAGACTGACCGCGCCTTCCCTCGTCCCGCAGAACATCCTGGCCGACGGCTCCTCACGGCCTGTGTGGCTGACGGCCATCAGCTGCGCCACCTCAGGTGTCGTGGGCATGGTCAACTGCCTCCGCAAGGAGCCCGCAGGGCACCGGGTCCGGTGAGAGACGCCGTTGGGCTGTGTGTCCCGCCCGCCGCCGTCCCCTCCCTGCCTGCCCTCCCCCCCGCCCCAGCTTCCCCTCACCGGCCTGGCTGCCCACAGGTGCATCCTGGTGTCCAACCTCAGCAGTGAGTCCCCTGTCCCCAAGATGGACCCAGGCTCTTCAGAGCTGCAGAAGGTGCTGCAGGAGGACCTCGTGATGAACATCTACCGGGACGGGGCCTGGGGGGCCTTCCGCCACGTAACCCTGGAGAAGGGTGAGCCCTTGCCGAGGACCCTTGCCGGGGAGCTGGGTGGGTGAGGCGGGCAGCCCGCGCCCCGCCGGGGCCGCGCACAGCCCCTGGCAGCCCTGCTGTCTGCCGCCCACAGGCTGGCCAGAGGAGCCAACGGAGCACGCCTTCGTGAACGTTCTCACCCGGGGGGACCTCTCCTCTATCCGCTGGGTGTGCTCTCCGCTGCGCCACGCCCTGGCCCCCAGCCCCGGCACCCATCTCTGCACTGTCTACTACGCCTCCCTCAACTTCCGTGACATCATGCTGGCCACGGGGAAGCTGTCCCCTGACGCCATCCCAGGTGCAGGCGCAGGGGCAGGTCCTGGGCCCCGGGCCGGGGGCCGGGGCGGGGAGGGTCCGTGCCCGCAGGGCTCACCGGCTGTGCGCCCCCAGGGAAGTGGGCCTCCCGGGACTGCATGCTGGGCATGGAGTTCTCCGGCAGAGACGCCAGCGGCAAGCGCGTGATGGGGTTGGTGCCCGCTGAAGGCCTGGCCACCTCCGTCCTGCTGCCCGAGGACTTCCTGTGGGACGTGCCCTCCAGCTGGTGAGTGTGGGGGGCTGTGGGCGGGGCCCCGCAAGGCCAGGCGGCCGGGTGACCGCGTGCTGTGCCTGCAGGACCCTGGAGGAGGCGGCCTCGGTGCCTGTGGTCTACACCACTGCCTACTACTCACTGGTGGTGCGTGGGCGCATTCAGCGCGGGGAGACGGTGCTCATCCACTCGGGCTCGGGCGGCGTGGGCCAGGCCGCCATCGCCATCGCCCTCAGCCTGGGCTGCCGCGTCTTCACCACCGTGGGTAAGCCGCCCAGCCCTCCCTGAGCCCGGGGCTGCCCCCGACGCTGCAGCGGCCTCGCCAGCACACGCCTCTTCCCCACCAGGGTCAGCCCAGAAGCGGGCGTACCTCCAGGTCAGGTTCCCCCAGCTCGACGACACCAGCTTCGCCAGCTCCAGGGACACGTCCTTTGAGCAGCATGTGCTCCGGCACACGGCCGGCAAGGGTGCGTGGCCTGTGGGTGCCCAGCAGCCCCTGACCCCCCCCAAGCACCTGCCCCCCGCCATGCAGCCAGATTCCAGCCCTCCTCCTCCGAAGCCCCAGCACGGGCCTGGCCCCGTGGGCTCGCCCTGGTTGTGACTGCGAGGACCCTTCTGACCCCCCCGCCAGGTGTGGACCTGGTCCTGAACTCCTTGGCGGAAGAGAAGCTGCAGGCCAGTGTGCGCTGCCTGGCCCAGCACGGCCGCTTCCTGGAAATCGGCAAATATGACCTTTTCAACAACCACCCGCTGGGTGAGGCCGGGCGGCGGGCAGCAGGCCGAGGGACCGGGGGCGCAGCGTGGGGCCCGCTGGCTGCGGGCCGGGCATGCTGAGCCCTGCCCCCACCGCCCGCACAGGCCTGGCCATCTTCCTGAAGAACGTGACTTTCCACGGGATCCTGCTCGACGCGCTCTTCGACGAGGCCAGCAGCAGCTGGCGGGAGGTGGCAGACCTGCTGCAGGCGGGCATCCGGGACGGCGTGGTGCAGCCCCTCAAGTGCACCGTGTTCCCCAAGTCCCAGGTGGAGGATGCCTTCCGCTACATGGCGCAGGGGAGGCATATCGGCAAAGTGGTCGTGCAGGTGAGGGGGGCCCCGGGGGCCCCAGCCCCAGCCCCAGCCCCAGCCCCGGCCCCGGCCCTTGGGCAGCGCCTGAGCCACCGGTGCCACTTCGGCCGCAGGTGCGTGAGGAGGAGCAAGGCGCTGTGCTGCAGGGCCCCCGGCCCACGCCGATGGTGGCCGTGTCCAAGACCTTCTACCCGGGCCACAAGAGCTACATCATCACCGGGGGCCTGGGCGGCTTTGGCCTCGAGCTGGCCCACTGGCTCGTGCGGCGAGGGGTCCAGAAGCTCGTGCTGAGCTCCCGCTCGGGCGTCCGCACGGGTGAGCGGGCCTGAGGGCATGGGGGGTGGGGTGGGGGCATGGGGGGTGGGGTGGGGCCCTGGGGCCGGGGACCCGCCGCCCCGCCCCCACCCAGGGCGCTCTGCAGAGGCCCGGCCCCTGACCCCGGCCCGCACCCCGCAGGCTACCAGGCCAAGCAGCTCCGTGAGTGGTGGCGCCAGGGTGTGCAGGTGCTGGTGTCTACCAGCGACGCCAGCACGCTGGACGGCGCCCGGGGCCTCATCGCCGAGGCCGCGCGCCTCGGTCCCGTCGGAGGCGTCTTCAACCTGGCCATGGTAAGTGCTGGCCGACGGGGCGGGGGCTGGCCGGCCGGGGAAGGCCCCCCAGCCTGTGCTGAGCCCTCTAAAGCCCTGGTCCTGGCGTCTCTCCCCAGGTCCTGAGAGACGCCATGCTGGAGAACCAGACCCCCGAGTCCTTCCAGGACGTCAGCAAGCCCAAGTACAGCGGCACCCTGAACTTGGACAGGTGGGGCGCGCGGCCGCCCCTCCTCCATGGCGCCGCCGGGGTCCTGGCCGCAGGCCTCTGCTGGGATCTGAGTCGAGGGTCCAGGGAGGCAGACAGGGTCTGCCAGGTGGGTGGGCGTGGGCAGCCAGCCAGGGAGTGACTGGAGAACCCACAGGGTGACCCGCGAGGCGTGTCCCGAGCTGGACTACTTCGTGGCCTTCTCCTCGGTGAGCTGTGGGCGTGGCAACGCAGGCCAGAGCAACTACGGCTTCGCCAACTCCACCATGGAGCGCATCTGCGAGAAGCGCAGGCACGACGGCCTCCCAGGTGGGCCCCGCCGCTGCCGCCCCGCCGCTGCCGCCCCGCCCGCGCCCCTGCTCACCCCGCCGTCCTCGCCTGCAGGCCTGGCCGTGCAGTGGGGCGTCATTGGCGACGTGGGCATCGTCCTGGAGAAGATGGGCTCCAACAGCGTGATCATCGGAGGCACCCAGCCCCAGCGCATCGTCTCCTGCCTGGAGGTGCTGGAGCTCTTCCTGAGCCAACCGCACCCTGTCCTGAGCAGCTTCGTGATGGCCGAGGGGGCCGCAGCCTGCAGCAATGGCGGCAGCCAGTCGAACGTGCTGAGGGCTGTGGCCCACATCCTGGGTGAGGACGCATGCCCTCCCTGCGGGCACGTGCCCAGCTCCCTGGCTGCGGCTTCCCCAGCGGCACAGGGCGCCTGCTTGGTCACTCACGGGGGAGGCCCAGGGGTCGCTGCACAGCTGCATTAGAGCTGGGCGGCAACCATGGCAACGGTGGTTTGGGAAGGCGAGGGGCCTCCCCCAGAGGCCCAGACACCCAGGGGCCCGCACCCACACTGGGCCCCCCCCCAGGCCCTCTTCCAAACGGCCAACCACGCGCCTCCCCCCAGGCATCCGAGACTTGGCCACCGTCAGCCTGGACAGCTCACTGGGGGACCTGGGCCTGGACTCGCTCATGGGCGTGGAGGTGCGCCAGACGCTGGAGCGCGAGCACAACCTGCTGCTGTCCATGCGGGAGATCCAGCAGCTCACCCTCCGGAATCTGCAGGAACTTTCCTCGGGGGTCGACCCAGCTAATGGTGCGCGCAGGGTGCGGGGACAGCCGGGGGAAGGGGGTTTCTCGATGCAGGGCAACTGCCCTGGGGCAGCACAGCCCTGCCCCTTGTGCTGCTGGCCCGGGGGCAGCCAGACGCCCCAGGTCAGACCTGGGGCGTCTGGCCCTTGAGCGCTCAGTGGGGGCTCAGGGCCCCGCCCAGCAGCCACTGGAGCCAGGTGTGCAGGCGTGTGCACGTGTGTGTCTGTGTGTGGGCCTGGCCCTCCCTGGCACCTGCCCCTCCCCACAGAGCTGGCAGCCCCCACGCCCAAGGAAAGCCCTGCGCGGCAGCAGGCCCAGCTGAACCTGAGCACCCTGCTGGTGAACCCCGAGGACCCGACCTTGACCCGGCTCAACTCGGTGCAGAGCTCCGAGCGACCCCTGTTCCTGGTGCACCCCATCGAGGGCTCCACCGCCGTCTTCCACAGCCTGGCCGCCAAGCTCAGTGTCCCCACCTACGGCCTGCAGTGCACCCCAGGTGCGGCCGGGGCCCGCGGAGCCGCCGCCACCCTCCGGGGCGGGGCCGGGGGGGCGCCCGCCAGCACTGAGCCTCTCCCTCCCCACAGCTGCGCCCCTGGACAGCATCCAGAGCCTGGCCGCCTACTACATCGAGTGCATCAAGCAGGTGCAGCCCGAGGGGCCTTACCGCATCGCCGGCTACTCCTACGGGGCCTGCGTGGCCTTCGAGATGTGCTCGCAGCTACAGGCGCAGCAGAGCCCCACCCCCACGCACAACAGCCTCTTCCTCTTCGACGGCTCGCACAGCTACGTGCTGGCATACACGCAGGTGAGCGGCACCTGGTCCGCGCAGGTCCCCGGTCCCCGGTTGCCGGTCCCCGTCCCCTCCCTACAGGTCCCCTCTTCCCTTCGCAGAGCTACCGCGCGAAGCTGACGCCCGGCTGCGAGCACGAGGCCGAGACCGAGGCCATATGCTTCTTTGTGCAGCAGTTCACGGACACTGAGCACAACAAGGTGGGTCCCGGGCCAGGGCCAGGGCTTCCCCCGTCCGCCCCGCGGCGCCCACTCACAGGCCCTTCCCGCAGGTGCTGGAGGTGCTGCTGCCACTCGCAGGCCTGGAGGAGCGCGTGGCCGCCGCCGTGGACATGATCACGCAGAACCACGGGGGCCTGGACCGCCGCGCGGTCGCCTTCGCCGCGCGCTCCTTCTACCACAAGCTGCGCGCCGCGGAGCAGTACACGCCGCGCGCCACCTACCACGGCAACGTGACGCTGCTGCGCGCCAAGACGGGCGGCGCCTATGGCGACAACCTGGGCGCCGACTACAACCTGTCCGAGGTGTGCGACGGCAAGGTGTCGGTGCACGTCATCGAGGGCGACCACCGCACGCTGCTCGAGGGCAGCGGCCTGGAGGCCATCCTCGGCATCATCCACAGCTCCCTGGCCGAGCCGCGTGTCAGCGTGCGGGAGGGGTAGCCGTGGCGGCTGCCGTTGGGCGGGCCGGGAGGTCCTGCCGGTGGGACCCCGGCCCGCACCCCGCGCCACTGCCCACAGTGGCTGGTAGAAGTAGAACTGACACCCGGCCCTCCCTGGGCACCTCCGCACGGTCCCCTTGGCCGCCACTTTTCACGGGGGTGTGGGGCCAGACCCGCGCAGCCGACTCGGAGACTTGCCCCGGTCTGTGAAGAGTCAGCCCGGCAGGGCGCAGGTCCGTTTGTCTTCTCAGTTTGGAGTCTATTTATTGCGTCGCTGGGGAGCCGCCAGGCCACGTCCCTGGTGCAGCCGGGACGCCTGAGCCTGGCCCGCTGTGAGGCAGCAGGCGCCGGCGCCCACTGTTTGTTCTCTATTCGTTTTTTCAAGAAACATGGTTCTCATTGCTGCTCAGATTTTGAAATCTACTATAACAGTCTGTTCCAAGAACCCTGGCTGGACTTGTTTCATTTTTAACGGCACCGACCCGGTAGACACGCTGCTCTCCCCGAGCCTCGCGCAATTCACTCGCGAGCTGTCGTCTCGGTCTTTCCTGCCCTCCGCCCTGACCACCCACCAGGAGCCGGGCCCTGTCCCTGTGAGGCCTGGAGGGGTCCCTCTACTCCCCACAGAGCAGGTCAGACGCCCCGAGGGCCGCCAGCCACAGTGCACTCCGCAGGCGCAGGCTCTGCAGGGTTCGCTCGGAGGAGCTGTGGGCAGCCATCGTGGGGCCTGAGCACCCCCGCCAGAGCTGTTGCCCGGGGCCACCTCTGCTCTCCCACCCCCTACCCCTACACCAGTGCCTGGAGGTGTCCCGCCCACCTCCTCAACAGCAGTCTTTATTGGAGGTCAGCTGGTTGTGGGCGGGAACCACATGGCGAAGTCCCTCATAGCGACACCTGACAAACATCTGCGTGACCCGCCAGGCTGAGCGCAAGGCCAACAGCCAGGGGGCCCCCAGCCAAGGCGGTGGGGGTCCCCGCACGCCACGTGGAAGCGGGCGTGCTGGAGGGGGTGATTCCGGGCTTCCTGGGGGGCAGCAGCACAGGGTTCTGGACACAGGAGGTGGGGAGCAGACCCCTCAGCCTCAAGAAGAACGTGTGGAGTCCAGACAGGCCAGCCTTGGGTGGGCCTCAGAAGGTGGGGCAGAATTACTGCGGGAGCCCACAGCTCCGCTCCTGGGGTGAGCCCAGAAATACCCAAAGCAGCTCCCCCCGCCTCAGAGGCCTGCGCCCACAGGTGGCTCTCAGAACAGCTGGAGGTGGACACAGCCCAGGCCTCCGTCCACGCGTGACCGGGTGAGCGAGCAGCGGCCTGCCGCGGGGCCGTAAAGAAACGGGGTCTGGCACGTGCTGCGGCCTGAGTCAAGCCCTGGGAGGGCTTCTAGAGTTGGTACCAGAATCAGAGGTTTCATAGCAAAAGTACATCAGGGACAGAGGGCTGCTTCACAACGAGCCCGTAGGAGGCAACAACCCTAAGCTTCCACGTCCCTAAAACAGCCCCTGGTTACAGAGCAGAAGTTAGACACGCAGGCAAGCCCCTGGTTCGAGCTGGAGGCCCGACTGCTCCCTCCCCAGGAAGGGGCGAGGCTGGGGGACGGGGGGCCCTGCCCGTGTGCACACTCTGCGGGTTCATGGGGAGCACGGGCCGAGATGGGCCGCTCCCTGGGCCATAGAGCCAGTCAACAAATTCCAAAGAGGTCAACTTCCCTAAAAACATTTTCTCTGACCACAGCTCTGTAGAATTGGAACCCATCACAAAAAGATCTCGACTATCTTCAAATAGTCGAAAACCAAATGACATACTGCTAAATAGCTGGGGTTAAAGAAGAAATCGAAACAGAAATTAGCGTTTTGAACTACAGGAAACTGGGATTTGGTCAATGCTGTGCTTAGAGGAAATTTATAGCAATGGATGCCAATAATGACTTCAAATTCTACCTTAAGAAGCTAAAAAAATAAGTAAATAAATGTGGCCCAAACGAAACAGAACAAGAGGATATAAAACATCGGCGCATCAAAGGAAAAATCAATTAAAACACAAAATTAATGAAACTAAAACTAGTTCTTTGGAGCCTTAAGCTGTATGAAGCGAGAAAAAAATAAATAAAGACATATTGTCACTATCAGGAATGACTAAGATTCTACACATAACAGAATGTTATGAACAACTTTATACCAAACACATGAAGTGAGCAAATTCTGCACAAGACCAAGGCAAAAAGATACAATCCGAATAACCGCGCATCCACTGAAGAAAATGAAACTGTAATTAAAAGGTTTTCCACAAAGAAAACTGCAGAAGTGAATGGCAAACTCGATCAAATATTTAAGAGCACTATTCTGCATCATACGCAAACTCTTCCAGAATTTTGGGAAGACAACCAGCCTCAGTGAGTTCTGAGGAGGCCCCGGCCAGGCAGCTCAGCTGGTGGGAGCATCGCCCCGTCGCACCAAGGCCGCGGGTTCGACCCCGGTTGGGGCGCGTGCACGCAGCAATCCATGACGCGTGAATAAGCAGCACGGGAAGTCCGTGTTTCTCTCTCTGTCTCCCTTCCTCTCCCAAAAGCCAATTTTAAAAAATTTTAAAGACTTCAACTTATGTAAACAATTTTGGGGGTGCCTTCGTCTAGTTGGGCTGCCATAACCAAGCAGGATAGACTGAGTGGTTTAAGCAGTAGAAACATTCCCTCATAGTTCTCAGTGGCTGGAAGTCCAAAGCCGGGGTTCCTGCCCGTGAGGTCCCTGGGGAGAGCCCTCCTCCCCGCTTGCAGGCAGCTGCAGGGGTCCTGGGGTCTTCCTGCAAGGTCCCCAGTCCTGGGGGCCCCGATTTTACCGTTACCGCCAGCTTATCAACCCCGTCTCCCAGTACGGTCACGTCGGAGCTTAGGGCTTCCACGTGAATTTGGGGAGGACACAGATCGGTCCATAGCAAGGGAGGGATTTATAACTGTCCTACGGGACCTGCATCGCTTTGATACCAAAACCTGATACAGACGTGCCAAGAAAACGACCGATATCCATCACAAACATACACGCAAACATTCTAAACAAAACTGTAGCGAACAGCATCACGCATGGTGTTAAAGGGCAACACATCGTGAGCAGACGGGCTTATTCCAGCGACGCAAGGGGGGCCCCACGTCCGCAAATCCACCAGTGCGGTTCAGTACACCGGCGATTTAAAAGTCACACGCTGGGAGAAAACACAAGAAAGAGGAAACAAAATAATAGGAAGTAAACACACACAGCAATCCTCTCTGGATGCAGGGAGCTGCCGCGCAGATGCGCGAACGCTGACACCCATTCCTGACGCAAACTCACAGCCGCCCCGCAGCGGCAGGCAGCGTCTGCAGCCTGATCGACGGCTCCGAGAAGCCACAGCGACAGCTGGACCTCGGGGTGAAAGGGTAAACGTTTTCCCTCTAAGACCAGGGCGTAAGCAGAGGACATACAGGCGGCCTATACACACATGAAAAGACAGGCTCAACGTCAGTAACCGTAGGAGAGGTGCCCATTACAGCCACAATGAGCAACCATCGCACACCTGTGAGAATGGTTTTCCTCCATTAACCCACAAACAGGTGCGGGTGAAGACGGGGAGAAAGGGGAACCCGGGCGCGCTGCTGGTGGGAATGCGGACCGGGGCAGCCACCACGGGAAGCGGCGTGGAGACACCTCAGCAAACTAAAACTGGATCTGCCTATTGACTCAGCGATCCCAATTCTGGGACTATATCCAAAGGAACCCAAAACACTAATTCAAAAGAACATAAGCGCCCCTGTGTTCATTGCAGTGTCCTGCACAACCGCCAAGATCTGGAAGCAGCCCCGGCGTCCGTCAGGAGATGAGTGGGTAAAGCAGCTACGGGGCGTTCACACGGTGGACTACGACGCAGCCATAAAAAAAGAAGAAAATGTTACCCTTTGCGACAGCACGGATGGACCTGTCAGAGGCGAGCCAGTCCGAGAAAGACAAACACCGCACGGTTTCTCTCACGTGTGGAGTCTAATGAACAAACTGAACTAACAGGCGAACAGGGACAGACCCATAGATGGAGAGCAGAGGACAGCTCGTGGCGGGGGGTGGCCGCACCCGGCGGGGAGGGACGGAGCAAGAAGGAAAAGGGGCTCACGCACGTGGACAACAGCGTGGTGGCTGCGGCGGGGAGGAGGCTGTACGCTGGATTAGTGGCAATGGAAAAAATACAACACAGGTTACATTGTTTACAAAGTAAGCCTAGTCGCCCAGTCTCTTCCACTGAACGTTGCCCTGGGCGTTCCAGCCAGTGCAGTAAATCAGAGAAAGGAAACAGAAGGCGCACGGATGAGCCACGGAGAAATACGACCGTCCCCGTCCGCAGACGACATTAAACCGTCTTTGCAGAAAAGCTGATGCGATTTACAAAAACCTCCCACGACTGACGGGAGAGTCTAGGGGACGGCAGGGGAGACCATTCGGGGACTACAGCCAACTGCGTACAGGCAGAAATGGGCCCTGAACACCAGTGGCGTTTACAGGAGCATCCAAAAATAAGAACTAGGGATAAATACAGTAAAAGACGCTGCTGTCGGAGTGCCCGCTGGAAACCAGAACGCTCCGCTGCAGGAGCGGGGAGAAGGCGGCCTGGAGGGAAGCCGCGCTCGCGGGCGAGGGGGCTCCGCACGGAGGGGCAGCCACGCGGGTCGGGGGCCCGCGCGTCCTCCCCAGACGCTGCCGGGCTTTCTGAGGGAGCTGACACAGCAAGGGCCCAGGCCCGCCCCTGCAGCCTGACGCGGAGCGCCTGAGGCAAAGTGCCCCTGCTTGTTTCAAGGCTTTTAAAGGTGTGCTGTTCCTGACGTGAACTTACGTACTGGGACTGATGGGAAAAAACAGCGAGTCCAGAAGCAGACTCACGGTTGTGGACGACGGGTTCTCAGCAACCGCCAAGGCAATTCCGTGGGGTGTCTTTTCAACAGATGGTTCTGGAATAATGGGGTCTCCCTACGCAAAGAAAGAAGGAACGAACGAACAAACTTAGATCCCCACCTCACAACGCACACAAAATGTAACTCAAAATGGACTATAGACCTCAATGTAAGTTCTGGAACTATAAAACTTCTACAAGTAAATATGGACAGAAATCTTTGTGAACTTGGGTTGCACAAATATTTCTTAGATATGACATCAAAAGCACAATGGGCAAGTGTATAAATTGTCAAATTGGATTTTATCTAATCATCTCTACTCTTTGAAAAACACCATTAAAAGAATGAAAAAAGTCACGGACTTCTGAAATTATTTGCAAATCACATACCTGACAAAAGATTTGTATCCAAGCTATTTTAAAAACTCAAGTTTTTTAAATTTAATTTTTTAAAAATATTTTATTTATTTATTTTTAGAGAAGAGGGAAGGAGGGAGAA